GGACAGAATTCTCAGCACAGGTACAGGCCTATTCCAGGCTTAGGCCTGTTGTAATACAATCTAGGAGACATTCTCCAATGAGTCCACTCCACGAAGCAGTAATTCAGCTACCATCTGAAAGACAATGGAGACTCCGGCTCTCAAATAATAGAGCCAGAGGTTTGAACTGTAGGGAGCCAAAGATCTCAGGGCTTTGCATGACATCCTAGGCCATGGTTGGCCAGCCACATAGTTGTATATTAACTTTACATAGCAGCTCCTTAGAACCTCAGTCCAAGAAAAGAAACAACTTGACCTAGTCCTCCACTCAGTCACCTGGGCAACCCTTCCTGGGCCTCTTACTCATGAACACTTTACCCTGACAAACATCGTATTTTTGGCTTCCAAATATCTTGTCTACACTAACACCTGGTGCACAAACAACCCATTCCACCCCTCCCCATATCCTGCTCTACTGACTATATAAGCTAGACTGTGAAAAGTAAAGTTTGCCACTTGATCAGAATGCTGTCTTGTGGTCATTCTTTCTGTGTCTCTTGTCCCCATTCCCTATCCCTGACTCTCTTGCCCCAGGTTGACATCCTGCAGGTCAGGACAACTGGTATCCAACATGCAGCTTGATACAGCTGGGGATCAAGAAACGTCAGTGCTCATTAGAGGGAGGTCCCCTCCATGCAGTAAGGCATCCATTACAAGGTCAATTATGAGCCTTGGTTGGAGGAAGACACAGCAGCCTACCCAGCGCTTGGGACTTTCATTTGATGAGCACTACCTATGTGAAAAATGTGAGTAATAGGGCAAGTGTTTAGCAAGGAAGATTTCTTTCTTTCTGGGATCACAGAATCCCTCAAGACGTGGGGAATCTTGCCTTAAGAAAAAAACAATTGGGACGAAAGATGGCAGCCACCACAGGCTCAGTGGTAAAGGTCCCTCAAAATTTTCAAGTGTTGGAAAAGCTGGAAGAAGGCCAGAAAGTAGTAGGTGAGAGCACAGTTAGCTGGGATCTAGAGGATGATGAGGACATGATACTTACTAGATGGACAGGGATGATAATTGGGCCTCCAAGATCAATTTCTGAAAACCGAATATACAGCCTTAAAATAGAATGTGGGCCTAAATACCTGGAAGCACCCCCATCTGTAAGATTTGTAACAAAAGTCAATATGAGCATCGTGAGTAGTTCAAATAGAGTGGTTGATCCAAGGGCCACGGCAGTGCTGGCAAAATGGCAGAAATCCCATAGCATCAAAGTCATCCTAAAGGAGCTTCGGCACTTGATGATTTCAAAAGAGAACCTGAAGCTGCCACAGCCAACAGAAGGACAGTGTTACAGCAATTAGTCACCAAGGGCCTGGCCTCCCCTCCCCAATCCAACCTAAGTCTCAATTTTCCACAGTAGTTTACTTTCTAAATTCATCTTGTAGACCTCAAAGTACTGGAGAGGAAGCTCCACTCGGACTTCATCCTGAGACACTGTTCTGATACTAATTTCTTGTCCATTTTAAGTACCTAAGTTGTGCTGTGTAACATCTGTCAATTGTAACTGCTGGCTGCCTAGTTGAACTTCTGGGATCAAGAAGGTGTGTTGAAATCAGTTTCCTTTGGGAGTGGTGGGCACAGCTAATGCAACTGTGAACAGACATGTCACACAATCACCTGTTGCTGACACATGGCCTAGGTCTGCCTTTGCCTGTCCCCCTCCTGCCCCAGCTGTATGGTGGCCCTTAGAATAGAAGGGAAGGCTTCAGGTAGCAGCGGTGGGAATACTGCTGGGCTTGGGGGTGCTTTGGCCTCACCCCTGCTTTCTTAAGTCATGCCCCATCCAAGCCATAGCCCCCCTACCTCACTCCTGCCCTTGGCCAAAGCTTAGATTGTAACCCTCCTCTCCCCCTGAAATTGGCCTTGGGTGAGGCATTCAGGGCTTCCGGTCTCCCCAACTTTATCAAGGGGTGCTGCTCTACCCCTCCTTCTCAACTCCCTCGTTGCCCACACCATGCCACATTCGCTGTGGCCAGATCCGAGATGAGTTTGGAAGAGCCTGTTTTTTCACTTAGCTCTTGGCCACTCATTTGCCACCAGCCTGGGGATGGGGTTCTGGGGCTTCGGCCCTGTTGCTACCATCAACTGATGCACTTTGAGGTCAGGTCTCAAGGTGAACAGAGCAGTCAGTCACGGGGCAACAAGCCTGCCAGCACTCAGGGTCCTTGGTGGCTGTGCCTAGAGAAAGGCCATGGGGAGAGTCCTCAGCACACAGAGTACTGAGTCGGTTACTTTTCTCATAATCACTTTGCTTTTACACACTGAAGTGGTTTGGACAGGACTCCCTATCCAGGTATTAGGTCTGACATGGAACCTGACAGAAGGAACAGAGGCCCTAACCCTGAAGACTCAGGTTTCAGTGTTGCTGCTCCTTAGACCCATGGCATGAATGGGAGGAGCTCTGTCGAGTTTTCAGATGGGTGGGTCTGACCTTCTGACTTGTTGTCATGTTCCCCACTCTGTCCAGAACCACTAATTTTTGAAATGTGGATGAATACAGAAATAAAGGCAATTTGCTGTGTTGCAAAAAAAAATGATAAAATTATCAAGGAAGATTTATCTGTTTCTGCTATCAAAGAATCCCTCAAGCCTGGAGGACCTCGGGTTAAAAAGAAACAAAACAAAAAAAGAAGTTCTTCCTCTTTATCGGGAATCTTTGTCCATGGTTCTGCCAAGAAGGAACCATGGGTTATAGTTGAAACTGCCTCCAAGAGTTGATCGTCCTACAACATGGCAGACCAGATGAGTTGATAAGACACAAAAGTGCCAAAGTACAGTGTGGGATGAGGCCAGGTTAGGGAAGGGTCACTAGTGAGAAGCCCATGTTAGGTTGTTTTAAAAAATAAAAGAAAGAAATTTTCACATTATCTTAATGCTATTAGATTTGAAGGTGTCAGTGCTTCTTTGCTTCAGCCCTGGCTTGTGGATCCATGGCGAGTTGGTCCACTGTTACAGTGGCCAATGTTGGGGGAGAATTCAAAGTTCTCCTTGTGGTTTCTAGGGGAATGGTGGGAAGTTGCAAATGAGGTCATGGAATTAGAGAGGTTAAGGTTGACTGGGATACTACCCTGGCTCTGCAGTGCAGGAGGGTAAGGAAATGTGGATGTCAGGAAGGACTCCTATCATGAGAATTATGGGTGTGAAAAACATCCCTGTCCAAATCACCACTCTTGGCATTTTCATTTTCACTCTGTAGTGGTAATCAAATCCTTTGTCCATTAGCTGAAGCCTCCTCCAGGGAGGAGGACTCAGGAGATGAAAACTCTGACACTCCTGCCCTCTCGGAAGAATCCTCTCCTTCTTTCCTTCCAGGTCCCGATAAACCCATTGTACACGTCTCCTGAAAACGACCGGTCCTCTGAAAATGACCCCGATGACACTGACTCAACCATCAGCTTGGCTGGCTTTGGTCTTATGGGAAAATAACCTCCTGTTATTCCTTCTGGCTTCCTTCTACTTCCCCATGGTTAACCACCCTCCTTCCTTCCCTCCTTGGTCCTTTAATAGGGCACCTCTTGCTAATCTCCATTGGCCCTTGGGCCTTTAATCGACTTGTGGCCTTTGTCAAGCAACAAGTGGACTCTGCCACTAAGCCTGTC